GGGTCGGGCTGGCCTATGTGCTCTTTATATATGTGGCGAATATCTTCCTGACCCTCATCTTGTGCCTCTTGGGCGACAAGACGACCTTCTTCTACGTTGCGTTGTGCATTATGCCGGTACCGCTCATCCAACAACTATATAGTGCCATGTTTTACATCAAACATCTACCTCGACGTATTCAAATGGCGTTCTTTTACCACAAAACAAGTGATATATATGACCAGCACGTGCGCGAAAAGCCTTGTGTTCGCATCTTGGATAGGATAGCAAGCCAGTGGCACCGGATTGTCACATTCTTGGCCACCGCCCTCGCTTTCGGTCTCGTACTGTATGCGTTTCTTTCGGATCAGTGGGTGGAAGTAGAGGGATCGCTGGTGTACGACTACGTTTTTATTGGCTTGTATAAAGTCACGATGGGATTGGCGGGATACCATGTCACCGTACCCACGGACGCTTACAAATACAATGCGCAGGGGGTGGAAGCCAACAAGTACTATAGTAGCGCCGACGTCTCGGGCCTGTTTGGGCTCAACCTACTGTACGACTTCCCGTCATCCACTTTAGGGCTCCTCGCGTGGTTGCAGTTTCTGGTCCTCGCTTCTGTGGGCATCGTACTGCTCACCATGACGTACATGTGGCTATTCCACCAGTCCGTTGAGACGCGCACCGACCTTGTGGCGGGATTGTACCTGGCTGCCTCGTTTGTACTGACGCTGGTTATCGTTTTGGTGTATCCCCTGTCTATTAGCCAATTGTACGTCCCTTCAGAACGTGAAATGACCGTGCACATGTGTGGTGCGAATGCAGGCCCCTACAACCCGGGAAACTGTTCGTTGGGAATCGGGTACTGGGTTGTGGTGGGCTCTCTGGTCCCGTTGCTCGTGGGTTGTGTCGCGAGCAATAAAATGACGTTATCGCCGTACTGGTTGCAGAAGAAGGCAGCGGTGAGAGAGGCTAAGAAGGAAGAGATGAATAAGGGAAAAGTATAAATGTTACAGCGTGAATGAAGAGGAAAATAGAAAAAAGGTGGGGTTTCGGTATCTTAAAACGATTATGTAGTTCCGTGTTTAATTTTTCCTAGACAAGTACATTGCGCCGTTAAATGTTTATGATCACAAACATTGTACGACATACCTAAAAGCTATAACTGTAGAATGCGACCCTGCAATCAATACTTGACACTTGGAATCGAGACCCGCCGTAACCATCCACCCGTGATTGATGAAGTTTGTTCTTGCAAACATGATACCCAAACTTGTATGATAATCAAAATAAGACTATAAACAATACTTAGAGAAAAATACAGGTACAAATATACAAACTCACAAACCTGGTGTAAACACATATATATATATATATAAATATGTAATATATATAGATAGATATAATATAAACATATATACATATATATACATATATATATATATATATAATATATTGATATATAGATATAATATTGATATAATATAGGTA